GATTTTTATGATCAATTAACCTCAAATTGCTATAAAATAATGACAATATTATCTCTTTTTGCACTTGGCCAAGTAGATTACCACCTGAGGGCTTTTCTTTCTCACCCGAAGCCTGCTTTACAAACCAGCCTACACTACACTGTGCTACTTTCATTGAATTCCCTTTAATTTTCTCTGAATGAAAATATCTAATGAGTTTCATCTTTTTTTCATTTTAAGCATCCTTTCCACACTGACCATTTTATGAAGGTTAAAATCAAGTTATTGAAATATCTCCCTCAGTGCCCATGCTTTTTTTTAATATCTGCAGAGCTCAGATACTTGCTTTTTAAGGTTTCCTTTCTTTTCTTTTTTTTCCTATTTCCCTTCTATTAGGGGTTTACCGAAGGATAATGAACCTTTCAGGTCTTCTGATTCTATAACACAGCCTTTTTTTTTAAAGAACACCCTGTTGTCCCCCTGTCCCCACATCTCTGCCCAGGAGCTACAAAAACTGCTGTGTAATACACAGCAGTAATACACAGCAGTTAATGTAGCAGAAAGAGGTTTGGAAGAAAGGGACGAAATATTTTTCTCCGATAACTTACCATTCTCGGATGCTAACGTTTGGCATTGGCCTTAAGATTTTTGACTTTAGAGACGTATTAGGGAAGAGCTAACCAGAACAGGTAAACCCATACCTATCCACTTTGTGTAGCGGAAGTTTTTTCTCGTTCACAGTTAAGTCCAGTGGGCAGAGAGGAGCTGGTGCTCAGGGCAGAGTGGTGTGCAGGCCTCTGGGCCAGCAAGGAACTAGGGCTCCTGGGAGTCCTGTCGTGCCTGGGGCTCCGGGTCGGGCCGTGGAGCCTGGGGTTTTCCAATTGTTGCCAGAGGATGAGCATAACGTTTCAACTGTGCAGGATAAACGTGTCAAGCGATTCTGTTTGTTCGCTTTATTTTTTAATGAAGCAAGCGCCCCTAATAAACTGGTTTTCTTTTTAAACGTAGATACTTAAAAAGAAATACAACTTTTACTTGCAATGTAATTTTTTGCACATTAAGAGCATTTATAGGGCCCTGGCTGGTGTAGCTCAGTGGATTGAGCACAGGCCTGAGAACCAGAATATCGCAGTTCGATTCCCAGTCAGGGCACATGCCTGGGTTGCAGGCCAGTTCCCAGCAGGGGATGCACAAAAGGCAACCACACATTGATGTTTCTCTCCCTCTCTCCTTCCCCACCAAAGGTAAATAAATAAATAAAATCTTTTAAAAAAAGAGCATTTATAAAGTATTGCCTTGATATATAATCCTACCAATGTCAAATAAGACACGTCAGAGAAAGTGTAAAGCTACTCAAATCACTGAAAGAACCAATTCCATTCATTTGGACAAAGTTTAATGACAGCTTCTACTTGCCTTTGGGTTTTAAGTATTTTGGGGAGATTATTAGGATATTTTCTTAAACTATTTATTGTTTTCACCAACCAGTTTATTTATGTTACTGCCAGCTCTACTCCAATGTGAATTAGCCTGGAGAAGCGTCACTGCAAACCCCCGCCGCATCCGCCTCCTCTTCCGGAGTGGTGGAAATCGTGAAAACTGAAAATTATTTTTCATACTAGATTTCTGCATCATTATAAGAGTGGCACTCCTCACTTGAGTCGTGAAATTTAAATCAGACAGACTTTTAGTTTCTCGTGGAGAAATCCAGCAAGTTTTCACCATCTTAAATTGAATTTCTATCTTGTAACTATCTTGACCGAGAAATACAAATTACAGATTGTCGAATAAAAGTATATTTTGCTACTAAATTTGTATTTAATTATGTAATATAAGTGGATTTTGCTGTGCATACTATTGTCTACTACTCCAGATATTCTGAAAGGAATAGTTGACAAAATGTGGCGTCTGATTTGGGGGTGTGAGGAATGATAAAATTGAATGTGCTTTTATGTTTTAGTTGGAAAGTAATGGTGAAACAAAGAAGGTGAGAGAAAGGGGAGAATTCACAACTAAATACTTTTTAACTTAGGCATTTTACCTAAAGGGTATGTAAGAGTGTCCATAGTATATCATGTGTGGTTATGGTAATTAAGGAAATAATTTTTGAGCTATGTTATAGTGCTTGGTACTTATTACTCAAGAGAGGATAATTGCTTTTACTTTTATGAATGTTATTCAGGAGTTCAGTTTGGACGTGGTAGATTTGAGGTGATGTTTATAATGTTAAAATCTTAAAGGTATAATGGTAGAACTGAGTTTCAGATAAGTAGATCCTTTGGCTATATCTAAGTATCAGCTCTCAGTATGATGTTATAAAAGTTACAGTGTTGCATGGATTAAGTGCTGTGGCAACAATTTGGCAAGAACAGGATTTCTCAGCACCATTAGGATGTTGCTGTGGAAAAGTCTTGGGGTAGCGGGGCTGGTCTGTCGGTTATTGTAGGATGTTCACCTTCATCCTGTGCCACAAGTGGTAACAATAAAAAATGTCTCCAGACCCTGCCAGATGTCCCCTGGAGGACATAACTCTCCTGATTGAGAATTCCTGGAGTGTAGAGCATCTTGTAGGCTCCTTCCAGTATGTAGAGGAGGTTTAGCACGCAGAAGAAGGAACTGACTGACTCAGTGTAACCCAGAAAACAGAAGCCGCGCTGATTGATAAAGACAATTCACTAGGAGAATATATTCATAGTTGAACTAGCTAAAAATAGAGTGTCGGCACTTGTAAGGCAGCTTTCAGCCACGAGTATTTACTTAGTTGCCAGATCATGACCAGAATTGTGCTGAGAACTTACTCTCTCGGAGGGAGTTTGAACTAAATACTCATTTAGATGCTCGCATTTTGGCAGGTCTGTGTACTGGTACAGATTTGAAAATCATTCGAGTGAGGCAGTGGGTGAGAAGACAACATGGTTGTCGTGAACTGACTTTTAAAGAAGGTTTATAACTTAGAAGGGGAAATCTGGAGTGTAGCCTGCCTTCACTGACCCTGTGAAGTGCTGGGAAGGAATGGAGGAAAACCAAGGAAATAAAGTGTTCGGGAGAAGTTTCACGGAATAGATGGTTGTGTGGTCGACTGAGAGGTGAAAGTCAGTTGATTGAGAAAAGAGCGGTATATTTAATTCCATGAAAGTCATGGTGAGGAAAGTATCCTGTAAAGTGTTGAGTATTATATGAACATTAATCATTACTAATGTTAACGCTTTATTAGCATATAAGCCAGATGCCAGATGCCAAGGATTTAAATAAAACTAGATCGTGAGGAAACTGACTTGGAGATGGCTGCATTGACCAGCTCAGTAAAACAGAGGAAGCTACAGGGCCAATAAAACAGAGTCATTGCTATTATTTTTTAGGAGATATGGGACTTCAGCACACTGGAAAATTTAAATTAAGATGAAATAGAAAGTTTGTAAACATTAGGGCAACAGATAATTATATAAAAAATAAAAAGCTGCCTCAGTGGTTGAAAAGGTCAGGCAGGGTCACAGATTTTTTTCCTTTTCTTTATTTTTTCACCTACTTCCTTTGGTCCTGGGGAAATAATTAGGGAAGGGACGTGGAAATGTCACTGTCACAAGGTGGTGGGTAAGCTCAAGATTCCCCGCAGGTGGGGAGGAAAGAATTTGAAGTTTATACAGCTGGGTTTGAACTCCGACAGTATCACCAGCTTTCTGTGTGACTGTAAGCAGATTACTTTCAACTCTGGGCATCGAATTCATCTTTGCTAAAATAAGAGTAATATAAGCTGTCAAGTTGTTCTTATGAAATTATATTATGGTCAGTGTAAACCTAACCCAGTGTCTGGACTGTGTTCAGCATGCGGGGCACCGATGCTACAGTTGTCCCTGTCATCGCCATCAAAGGGCATGCTAAGGTTCCTTCAAGTGACAAGCATGGAAAGTGTCAACAACTGCACTGCTCATGAGTGAATCAGCTGATGAACGCAAGGTTATCAACTAAGGATGGAGACCAGGATTTTCATAGTGACCCGTGACCAGTGCATTTGCAGTGACTACTCACTTCTGGATTTTTTTCAGAGCTTCATCTCTAACCACAGAGCAAAGGAAGAAAAATAGTGTTGATACGGGGTTGGGACTGATGAATGAGGTTCATATAGATTTGTTAGAGCTTGTTAGTCGCAAATTACTGCTTTCAAGGTATCCTGTATTATTATAGCTTATTGAATGTCGTACCTAGTATGTGTAGACCACAGGTATAAATGTTCAACTGAACTATTTCTTATTTTAAACATTAGCATGGTCCAGGACTTATAGACTTCAGCACTGCTGACATTTTGACTAGATGCTTTTTTGTCCCTGGGGGCAGGCCTGTGCATTGCAGGGTGGTCAGAAGCACCCTTGGCTCTCCTCACTGGAGACAGGTTGCACCCCTCCAAGCTGTCATAATCAAAAATGTCCCCCGACATGACCAAATGTCTCCTGTGTGTGGGGGGGGCAGACAAAGGTCTACAATCAGTGTGCAGTTAAGAACTACTGAGGTATTCTCCTGTCTCAAATAGTTGCTCATAAAGATTAATTGAGTGAACATGTGCTATTTGAATTGATAAAATTGCTGGTATAACTCAGCGAGTCTAAATAGATTTGTGTGACTTTATAAAACCAGTAGAATTATAAATTTATGTTTCTTCTAACAAAGAAAATCCGAAAGGTAGACTATAAATTGTAGCAAGAAATATAAGTAAATTTTCTACCCATATACTTCATTTTTACTTGGAAACATTTCACCACGAATTTATCCTTTTTTGCTTGAATTATTTACCAAAGCAAAAGGATTACTTCTATATGTATAGGGTGGAGCAAAAGTAGGTTTACAGTTGTTCGTATGGAAAATAACACAATAGTTAATCAAAAATACTACAGGAATAAATCCTGTCTCATGTACTCACAACAGTAAACCTGCTTTTGCTTCACTGTGTATGTATTTAAATCCTCTACATATTTTTATTACATATACTCAGTATTTTAAGCAAAGACTATTTGTGTTTTATTTTTCAGTTGTTTTTTATCCTTGTTGTTGGTGGCTGCCGTGGTCTGGAAGATCAAGCAAACATGCTGGGCTTCTCGGCGGAGAGAGGTATCAGTAACAGTGTTCAATCTTTAGTTTACGGGGTCAAGCAAATGTGCATCTCTGTTGCTAAATTAACGTCTCGTTCAAATATAGATTTTCAAATCTGTTTATTTATTTATGATTTTATGGTTTTATGGGTTTTATTTATTTTTAGAGAGGAGAAGGGAGGAAGAAAGAGAGGGAGAGAAACATAAATGTGTCAGAGATACATTGATTGACTGCCTCTCGCACGTCCCCTACTGGGGACCTGGCCTGCAATCCAGGCATATGCCCTGACCTGGAATCTAACCGGCAACCTCTTGGTTCCCAGGCCGATGCCCAATCCCCTGAGCCACACCAGTCATGGCTAATGTAATTTATTAAGATTGAACAAATCAGTCTAGTATTTTTAAAGCTTCAGAACAAACTTGACCACAGTCCTTTTAAGTCAGTGTGTATAGAAGCATTGGTTAGCTGTAAAGTGTATGTTTAAAGAGTGTTAGAATCTGTAGCAAATATAAATATTCTGTTGAGAAAATAATCTGCATTCTCTTTTATTTAGGTAATTAGTTATACTATAAAAGTATAATTTACTTTGATAAATGTCTTTGTTGCACTTTCAAAGAAATTTCTAACTGACATTTATTTTTGGTTTTTAATCTCCTAGAGTTTTGTTATTTTTTATATACTCAAATATTTTCCATTTTAAGATTATCTGATAATGCAAGTATGTTCAAAGTGCACCTCAATTTGATACATTCCTGTATCAGAATTGATTACATATGTTTCATGTATTCCTAAAATTAATAAAAAGCATAATACTTTTCCAGAACAACGGATGATATAAATAAATTAGATACAGTTTCTTAACTTTGTATATATTAGTTATTTGAAAGAAACAAAGAACCATAATAGTCTAAGGAGCCTAAGTGTGTAGTAGATTTACTGTTCTATACCTCATGTAACAAAAAAGTAAGTTTCTGTTTTGACATTATTATATTATTACATTCTGTTAATATTAGTTTTCTCTTTGCTGTTGCACTCCTATGTATGTATAAGTCTGTGCAACAATACCAAGCAGGGCTATAATGACTTCACTTTTCCCCCACGTGCTAAAGATTAAAGGTGTTTAACAGCAACCCAGAGTATCCTAAGTTTCAGTGTTGTAGGTTAATTATTCTTCTGTTGTCAAACATCCACCCCAGCTCAGTGCATGCCTGTAATACACTTACAAACTGGACACCCCTCCCACAAATCAGCCCTTGGTCCTAACCCTCTCCGCCTCTCTGGTTTCTGTGTACGGCCAGTGCAGTTTCAATGAGAATTGACTTGTTATGACCCCATGATAGAAAAGGAATCCAATTGAAAAGGAGCTTATTTAACAGAAATGCATAAATATTTGGCAAGCACTAAATCTCTCTGTGGAGATAAACAGTAGGAATACACACATTAGACAGTCTATTAAAGGTGAGATTACAGACGCACAAAGGGAAACTTAATTGGTGGGCAGGGTTAATGACGGCCTTCTGTACCATGGAAAAAGGTAAGTGACATTTATGTCCCTAATCATTAGAAAATAAGTCGGGATCAATTAGGGATCCTGGGTTCTCACTTCGTTATGATTGGCAATGTTTAAATATCTGATTTCTAAAGTTCATAAAATGCGACTGTGTAATTGTGGCACTGTGTAGAGATCAATATCCAGCTCTGACATTAGCTGGTTTCTGAATGTGGGTAAGTGGTCAAATTGAATTTTCTTCTTCTAAAGAGAAAGGATTGTGCTACATAATTTCCAGCTGGAGGCCTCTGGAACGCTAGGAGTGTTTGTGTAGAATAACCAGAGTTTAGAAACAGTATTAAATACGTGAGAGAATTAATGCGAAAAGTTCATTTACCTATGAAACTCAAACTTCTCAAAACGACAGCTTGCTTTTGTTTAATATTATATCACCTCAGGGCAGTAATGTTGTTTATTACATATTATCAGAAGCTCCGGGGAGCTGATATTGCTTGAATTTAAAAATAAGAATATGACTTCATCTTTTGATGAAAAGTCCAGATCTCTCCAATTATGTTTGCACATGGAACGAACACGGGAGAGATAGGAAGGGACCAGATCAGGGAACCACTGGGCCAGTTCTAGTCGGTGCGTCTGAATAGGACTGTTTTCTCGCTGTTCCTTCAGTGTGGTGCTCACCTTTCCAAAAGTCATCCAGGGAGTTTTTGTTAAGGAATATAATAATGATGTTTTTATTTAATTTGCTACCTTTACTGAAATACAAAATCAGTCTTGTTGAGAGTCATGCCATGTTGCAATAGAATATGTTAAAAAATACTGTGAGAAATTTTCTGAAATTTAATCATATTAAGTTCTTTAAGTACAAAATTCTAAATGTGTTGGAAGTCATTCACATGTTGATACCCAAAGTAAAGATGACATTATTTAGGCGACTAACAGAGATCTGATAATAAGGTCAGATAATAACTTTATCAGATAATAACTTTATGTTAGTAAAAGGTCCTCACTTTGATCTTGGAGACTCAAAGACTTTTAACTTTACCAGTTGTAGTTTATATGATAATCGTACTTGTAGACTTTTTGCAAATGGAAGTAAAATGTGTTTTTTACCTGATCTTTTCTTTATTCAGTTTTAACTGTTAGATTAACTCTAATATTCCCCAAAGGAAAAGATCCTAGTTTTTTTCTTTTAAGGTGGATATGCTACTTTTTCCAAAACCTTAATGCACCAATTATTGTAAACCTCATAGGTTGATAGTAGAATGGTAGTTTGTCTGTAGCAGTAAATGAAAATTATTTAAAGGACTTTTCTCCTTAGTACTTCTGTAATTTTATTCCAGGAGTTGTACTGCTACGACTATTACTACTTGTTTTTCTAAATATAAGACATATTTTGAAGTGAAAATAGTCTTTGGACATTTAAAAAATATATTGTGTTAATTAAACCAGGCATATGGCTTTTTAAAACTATTTGAAGTTTGGTTCCTCAGAAACACACAAATGCTTTTTTGTGGTATAATTTTAATATAAGAAGGCGATTATTAATGTTATTCCTTTTGAATAACACCCCTGAGAATTCAGGGACTCTTAGAAACTCAAAAAGGAAACTTCAAAGGACTTCAATTTTAATATTACCTCTTCATATAGGAGTTCCAAACTGATTTTTCTGATAACTCTGTAAAGAATATGAAATTTGGGGGGAGAGGCCACATTAGTTAATGGAAACAATACATGGATATTGACCAGTGGAAATATTGTAATACATCAAGAGGCTGAGTTCACTTTTATAATTTCTGCTTATGAAACTATAGTTTTATAGTTTCAGTTGTGAAAACATTAAGTTTTAATGGCATATTCAATTTTAGGTAAATAATTCTTATACTACATAAACCGTTGTTAAAAGCAAGTGTGGGTTAAAAGGAGTCTCTTAAAATATTGTCATGCTTTATAATCCTCATTTTTAAACTAAAATTTGAATTTTGAATAGGTATTATACGTTTTCTGCACATTCCAAATCGCACAGAGTAAAACCCAGATTTGAGTTTAGCATTATGACCCTGAAGTTGGAGTTAAAATTAGTAAGCTAAAACTAAAAATAATAAACTAACAGTAGGATTATCTAGAGACAAATGTACTAGTTCTTTTTTTTTTCTGTATCTGTTTTATGGGCACAAAAATGGAGAACAAGTAATAATATTAAATTATACTCTACTAAGGACATGTTATGGATTAATGATAAAATATTCTCTGAGATGCTTAATTTGTGGTCATTGGGTCCTCATCTAAATATTATTAATGTAATACAGCGATGTTTTAAAAAGTGTGTTACTCTAACTCCAAAAGACTTCATCTTTTGATTAAAAGTCCAGATCTCTAAATTTTGACCTTGAGGTCAAAAAGAAAGAAGTTTTTAGTTTTTTTAACCATTGTTAAATAACGTGCTGATATACGTATTTATATCTTTGCAGTTAATGGCCTCACCATTAACTTATTTCTGCTTATAATCTTATCTTATAGAATTGCAAAATATAATTCCATTGCTTTAATTTTTTTTACTTTATAGATACTCAGCATGCCTATTTATATTATCATGGTTTTAAAAATTAGCATGTCTACTTAAAATAATTGAATTGAAAAGTCAAATACATATAGAAGCATAACATGTGAAAGTTCACTGATTCTTGCCTGTAAACGTGTTCCCATGTATCTTATTATATGTGTAATGCTTACATTTTGCTCAGTTAGGGAAAGACGTATTAATCGCTTACAGCATTCCAGAAAGATCAGTGCTGTGGACATAAAGAAAGAGCCATGAACTCCAGCTGTAGGGAATTCATAGCTTTCAAACATTTTCAGTAAGATACACACACATACACGGCTCTCAAAAGAACGCCTCAGTTTACCTTGTGGTGGTAAACTTGTCATTTACAGGGATGTATTAAAAAGTTTTCTGAAAGTTGTGTTGGTAATAGAAGTAAATGTGAGCTGTTGTGTAATTCTATATAGAATTGATGTCTAAAAGAGAGATAAAATTTGTAGAATTGTTTTTACTATATATACAATATGAAGATTGTATTTATGTGTCATTATCTTTGATTTAGACCCTGTCATTTACTTAGATTAAGAAATTTCCTCTGAGTGAATTTTAATCTTGGTTAACCACAACATCTCACATAGAAACACACACAAATGTGTCAGTATATATATGCCTCTAAGGAACAGTAGTATTATGTGTTTTTATATGAAAATATTCATTTTTTAAATCCATAATTCAAGTTTAACTGGGTATCTTATGTATTTGCTCAATTTGACAATCCTATTTTCAGTGCTAATACTCTGGAGCTGAGGGGTAGGTTTAACCCCACAAAATCCACATTGATGAGAGAGTGAAAAACGACTAATTTTCCAAAGTAAAATTTTAATTTGCTTTCAGAACAAGGGAGAGTTATACCGGGCAAGCAAAAATAAAAGATGTTTACTCCAAGCATTATCTATCAAAATTAAAAGA